GTGCAAACAACATCGTAGAAATTATATTTAAATAGTTAAAAGTAAAGCAAAATAAAAATATCACATCGTGATGAGAAAGCTTTCCCTATATAGCGAGATGCAGTTTTAAAACAACAATTCCAATACCTGTACTCTCCAAATGCAACACGGACTATGATGAAATGCGATCGTAACGTGGATGGTACGCAGCTCCGTCGCTTATGCGGACGCGCTTTTCGCTGAAATTTCGCGCAATCATACCCGCGCATTTAAAAGCCGGCGAGACAAATATTTGCGGAACATTTGCACTGCTCTGGGCAAAATATTCGTCACAAGAAGACGTAATTAAAGCAATGTAAATTCGTGTGCATTCCGCCGCTTATATTACGCGACAAAAACAACGGAAACAATTTATCCCCCATGCGAACGGCCTCTCGACTGTCGTATATTACCGGAGATAATTCATTATCGAGTCTGGGTGATCTATAACACTTCCATTTCGAGACAATGACATGCGTTAAACGTAATGAAAGAAGATGCATAGTGTAAAAAATTATCAAGAGGCACGGTAGTGTCCCGCGCCAAAGTGTATATGCGTATATCTATACGCGCGAGTTGCAAGCACGCGGATTTCGAATTCTCAATAACGGCTAAACCGATTAAATTCTGAGTAGTCTTAGTCGATAGTTTGGGTTAAAATTACATAATAAAAGTGTTTTTATTTTTCCTCTATGTACCCTACAAGCGGAGATATTGTGATATGTAAAATTCGAAATTGTGGATTTTATGTTAAAAATGTCGTCGTCATCTCCCAGAGCTGCGCAATGGGAAGTGGTAAACTGTTGCAATTTTTGACGTAAATTGGAAATTGTCAAAGACAACCGATATTGGTGTCTAATAATATTTTAAATTTCAGTTATAATAAATTGCGCGCCAATTATTTTTAAGAACACAATCATAATCTGAAGCTGAAATATTATCACAAATTAAAATGATCGTTAATTGATGATGATGTTACAAGCATCCTAACATTGTAAAGAATATTGCGAAAAATATTACCTCTGCCAAGTTTGAATTGAGAACCTCCCAACCCAATCCGGGGCGAGTGTCTTACTCATTTGATCGCTAAGGCTATAATAATATTTATTGCAATAACCAATATTTATAAAAGAAAACGCATTGAAAGGCGTGCATGTAGTAACAATAATTTCAATAAGATCGCTGTATATGTATACAACAAATAATGGGAAATCGCCAAAGACGATCGAAAATAGATATTGTTTAAATACTTTAGTTATTGTCTAAATCCGAATATTTTTCGCAATATGTTTGCAATATGAATGCTTGTAGTATCATCGAATTAACGAACATTTTAATTTGTAGTAATATTTAGCTTTAGATTATGATTACGTTCTTAAAAGCAATCGGCGCGCAATTTACTGTATCTGAAATTTAAAACTAGAAAATATTATTTTAGGTTTTAATGTCTATTATTTTATAGGAAGCCAGTTTATATAAAGGATCGGTTTAATGTCAGTTTAATAAAATTTATATGTGCTGAATTAAAGTTTTGAAATTAAGCATTTATTATACTGCGACCGTGTTACTTGGTGTCTCTCAAACGACTTTTTGTTTCCTGACTTTTTTTCCGATCGGCTGCGCGAAGTCCCCACTTTCCAAACAACGAAAGTCCCATTATTGAGCTTTCGAGAACACAATTAAATTTTAATAATATTAACGCTTTTGTCCTCTCGGAATACTTCATCAAAGGTAAATAAGGATCTCCGCACTAACCAATCCGCTTGTCTTGTGTGTCAGATATGTATATATACGTATCTATGTACATGTGTATGTATCTAAGTGTATATGTGTCTTCGCAGGCTAGATAATATTCTCGCTTTTTCTTTATATACTAATATGGGTTGTGCGATGCAATCGCCACATTATTATTAGACACCAATACCGTCTTTGACAATTTTCCTTAATTTATTTTTCATCTTATTGAAATTATTGTTAATAGTATTTAAAATTTGAGAGGCAGTTTTGTATCAGTGGCAATGTGACTGTATGAGAAGAAGTTTGTTTATGCACTAAATTATCAATTATCTTTACTTACAATTAGATTTAAACAACTAGGTTAGATTACTTAAGTTAAGTTTTATGCTATCGTATTCTTTTCAGAAGACAGTGCCGTCTTCTTTAGGAATATTCAAATTTATTACCTTTTCAAGGGAACAAGAGGAAATTTTAGTAGAACGTATAAATATCAAGTTTTATGTTGATAAGTTTTATGGAGTGTTTTATATATACGTACATCAACAATAATATATGGATATATTTAGTAATTCTGTATTAAAATCATTCGTATAATTTGTAATTTAATATTATGTATCGCCCTGAATTAATATTGTACGATCAATGTTATTTGTTAATTTTAAGAAAAGGTACACAAGTATGAGAAGACCCGACATAGATATCTAAACGAGCTTGCAATGAACAACTCGAGCAACTATATAATCTAACTGTGAGTGCCAAAAAGAATTAAAGCTAATTTCGAATTTACGAGCGTTCATATTGCGACATAAAGCTGGCGAAACGATTTATGGATCGGTGTATGCAAGCCGGAATCCGCGATACGCTATCATCGAGATAATTCAGTATCGGATTTGCGATAGCGATGTACCGTTTGCGACGTACACTTACGCATACAAATAGCTGTACCATAAGGGCAGTTAATCGTGGGCTCAGTCGCACAGAGAGATTTGCACTTCGCATCAGTCCATGCGCAGCTGAGACAGTTGAAAATTAATCGCTATATCTCATATAGCATTAACTATATGCTTCTCGTATTAAAATTGATCAATTTTTAATTTTCTCTTACGACTCATTTTCAACTAGAAATTCAATTACGTTAATCATATTAAAAATTAAAATACAAAATTTCTCCAATATATTATATATTCTAATAATAATCACTTCAGTGAAATATTATTGTCTACGATTGACTATTCATATTATAAATTTATATTATATCTTCTCCTTAAAACACACACAAATTACCTAATATTATAGATATATTTAATACTGTGATGATACACTTGCAAAACTCCCTTCTTAATATTATATTTCAGTAACATAAACCAATTAAAGTCTAGATAGTACTAATCGTCAATAGAGGGGACCTTCTTGGCACCATCTTGTAATTTAATTTCGAACTTGTCGAATTTTGTAAATATGCCACATGGGGCCAATAAACGTGGAGAACTTTAATTATAATAGGCAGAGACAAGATTCGATTAGCGCGCTCCGGGACGCACCTTGAATCATGCCAATTACTTCATGTTCGATTATTCGACACAGCCCGACCGCTGCGTGGTAAACGATTGAACGTGATTGAACAAATGTGTGCTGTAGTATTCATCAATTCGACTACAATCTGACTTCTGCTGTCGTAAAATGATTTTGCAAAAATAACTTGGAAGAAAATCGGAAAATAGCGAACGTCCAGCAATAATTTTTCTCTGAGTAAAAGCAATTTATTTCCGGTAAATATTTTGAAGAAATTTTCAAAACTTCAATTTTTTCAGCACTACATCAGCAAATTTACTCAGTAATTTGTTGTTTAATTCAATCCATTACACGCAATTTTATCAATAAATTTGTTGATGTGTTCAAAATTTTGTTTCCAGTTTTATGTTAGCATAATAAGCAGCCATTTGCTAATTAGCGTCGAATCAACAAATCGCTTTTGCAAACTGACATTTTAATCGAGTCCACCGCACAGCTCAAATGACTTACGGTTTATGAATAATGAATGACAAGCCACTGCTCGCGTCTGTTTTTTAATTAGCAAATGATCTCTACAAATTGCCAACATTACAAGGTCAAACTCCGGCCAAATTTTTTATCTACTTTGTAACTGTAAGTGAAAGAGTGATCGTCATGAAGCGCAGGTGAACTTGGCGGCCGAAGCGTAAATATCGCAAATAAGCGACGATTTTCAGCGCCAGTGAAATGTTGAATTCAATTCCGTATGCACGCGCCACCGACTAATTCAGTCGCAATGCAAAACAGCTGTTACTCTATGGCCACGTAATGCTCGTCGCCGGTCCGCTTTTCGCAGAACCAACGCGAAATTCCGGAAATTTTCACGGAGTTGCCGCCGCAGGACTTTAATACTTCCGGGAGCGCACAAACCACTAAAGGGTGTAATCCACTAACCATGTGCATATTCGTCACTGATCGCGATACCTGCCATCACTTTGCATTTTGAATGATATTTCGGTAGCGTGTGAAATACAATTTTGATTACCAAACGATATAATATCGAGCGTCGTTTTGTAATCGCTTTACGATAGGACTTCTATTATTCAAGCTAATAGAATGATACAAGCAATCGAATAAATTGAATTAGAACGATTACTTTTCAACATTAATTGTGAGCAATTTTGATTTAAAGAAAATAATAAACAATTTTGTTATTTATTTAAGAAAAAATAAAGAAAGAATAAATAAATACATAGTTTTGCAAATTGACATTTTTTTAATCACATAAATCTTTCAACATTTTGCATAAAATATTTCTGTACAAATAGACGAAAAGATATTCTAGAATAAACTGAGGATAGAGGACCTCTATTATTCACGTTAACAGAATAATACAAGCAACTGAATAAATTTTATTAGAATGATTACTTTTCGAACGTTAAAATTGATTTTGTTTAGAAAGAAGAATGTATAATTTCATAATTTATTTAAGAAAGAATAAAATATTTGCAAAACTGACTTTATTTAACTCACACAAATCTTTAACATTTTGCAATAAAATATTTCTGTACAAATAAAAGAAGGAATATTCCAAAATAAGATTACTCTGTCAACAGTTTTTCTGCATGAATAATAAAACGTATATAGAGTAAACGCTTATAGAGTAGAGCATTTTAATAAAAATGTAAGCTTAAATAATGAATGTTTTATTATAATCGATATTTTGTTATTACGGTTTTAAACAATAAACATCATATATATGAATCGGTTTGACAGAAATTAAAATTGTAAAAAGATCGCTCATTGCAAATGTTACACGGTTGAAACCTCGCATATGTATATCTCTTCAACACACCAATTCGCGTAAAAGTTGACAATTGAGTTGTAAGCCGCGTTGAGAAAGATTTTTATCGGCGTTATTAAACTACGCACCGCAAAATTTATTTGCACGCGAAATGAATCGTTCAATGTAATTCATCAAATCGACTGTCCATAAAACAGCGAAGTGAACTCGCTGCACACGTACGGTTACCGCTCGTTTCGTTTCGCATTCACGCGTGACTCCTGGGACGCGGTTACATCGACAAAGTACTCGAGCGTGTTTTTGATTGCTTGTCTCGCTGCTCGACTATGTCAACCATCTGTATTTAAACAAAAAAAAAATAACTGGAGCTCCCGAAGGTTTAATAAATTACTTTTGATCAAAAGTATCATTTTTAAAGTAAAAAAGTAGCGCTTATAGTTAAATAATATTCCTATATTTTCCTACAGACTCGGACTCGCTGCAGAACTCGTAATAAAATAATTTAACAGAGCCGTTTGCCTCATTTGTTCGTATCGCAATAATTAATTTCGATAAATAAATTGTAGTTGCGACTGTAAAAACAGGTTAAAGTTTAAAAAAAAATCTATAAGTAGTACTCACCCTTCATGCCGAGTGATGATCGCACCTTCCCTCGATGCTCGTATTATGGTTTTATTCTTCGTTACACGAGCACCGATATCGACGTGTCCGAGAAGGGATTTTGCGACGCTTTTACACGCTGCAGTTCTACTTTTGACATGAAAGATGCGTAGAAAGATGAACGACGCAAATCATGAGTTTCACGAATGTACGGCACTTTCTGAAAAAACCATAAAATAGATTATGGTTGAAAGAAATGGAGACAAAATAAGACAGAACATGTTATTCAAGTTGCAAAATTCGGACTCATTCAAATTTCATGAGCGCTATTATAAAATAACAGTAATTTTGTACGGAATTTAAATTACGCACAACTAAAATGTGAATTTAAATGACAATATTGTGTGAAATATACAAACAAATATACAATCACATTTTATATCTAAATGAAAAGAGTTAATAAACATTGGAGCACAACCTAATTGTGTACAGCTCTTTTATCTGAACAATATTTAACTGCTGCAATAGTTATTTAAATAAATATCGAAAAATTTGAAATTATTGGCGTACATCTCTAATTTAGTATCGCACAATTTATGAATTTAATTACATATCGCATCCATCCATTCTATAATAAGAGTCAGAGAGTAATAAATTCTCTATAGTATTGTTTTCAAAATGAAAACAATGCTACTCCACATTTGCTTCTCTCTCTGTGTTTATCACCTGTATCGTTTACAGCGTTTGATATCAAGGGAACACGTAATTAGAATTATAAACTTTCCAGGTGTCAAGTCGAGATCGCATTGATATATGTAAAGGTGAAATTGCGAGAGAGCGTGGTCTCGCGTGATATGTGCGTGTCGTTATCGTAGCGTGGAAATCGAGGTTAAAGCAGTACGATAAGCACCGCCTCAGAAATAGTAGACTTTGCAGCGTTTAAGCTGCAAACGGAACGTACGTGTGTGTATGTGCACGTGATAAAACAAAATATTAAAAAAATCGCAGGTCATCATTATAGTTCCATACATGCAGAAAAAGAGATTGATGCCAAGTCAAAAACCAGCTTTTAACTTTGCTCGTTTTAACGAGGCAATCAATATTTTGTGAGGTTTATTTGACAAAATGTGTCGAGGAAGAACAAATGTTTTTTGTTTGTTCTTTCTCTCTCTCTCTCTCTCCCTCTCCCCTCCCTCCCCCTCTCTCTATGAAATTGTGGAAAAAAGGAAGCATTTTACTCGCGGGTAAAACTTTCGACAAATCAATGTTGAAAAATTACTTTGTACAAAATAATTGAGAAGTCAATTTTTCAAATATTCGTGTCATCTAAATAATATGTACTATTTTAAACATAATTCTCCTTCAAATTTTATTTGATTATCTTATAAAATAGTTTAAATACAAAAATGATTTCCTAATATTAGACGTTATAATGCTTGTTATATTTGACTTCGCAAAAAACATAGCATATAAGCTTAAATTCTGTTCTTCGAAATATTCTGTACGAGCGAACATGCCACCGATACGAATCGCGTATTCGATTCCATCTAATCACGAGCTTCAGTCAGAGACTTTATCTCATTTTCGGCAACCGAGAGACTCGTAAAAATTTTATTCCTTTGTCCACGGAGAGAAAAATTTTCCCCATGGGGGTCGGCAACATCTGCCGCTGATAAGTAGGCAGTGGAAGAGAACTCCATTGAGATTCTCCCCCTTGTTTTCCTTTTTTCGGCGGTGCTTCGTGAAATTTACGAGGATTACGTCGAGTCATTTTCGAGTTTTCCGCCGGGACGTAAAGCCGCCCCGTAAATTGGGATACTGTCCTCGAATTTCGGTCCCGAAAGACGATAGAGGTAAAGTCTAACGCGGCCGTGGAGGCTTTGCAGTGGGACGTTATCGAATTTAAAGCAACCCACCCCTTTGTAAGGCGAGGGAGAACAGAGAGATATCCATAACGTATCGCAATAGCGATATTGCAAATTTTGTTTGACGTGTCACGTTTCGTTCACGTGGCATATACGTGCGCATGAATATGTTCATCGGCGGCGTAAAAAGCGTTGCATACAAAAATTTTAGGATGCTCGCCGCGCATGCATCGTACATGTAAAACAAGATGCGCAAACTTTTTTCAAGTTTACGTTGCGAACGTCGGCATGTTCCGGGTCGTTCGAGAACGCGGCTTGTTACGGGAATCGCAGACGGGAAGTTTGATCGCGTCGTTCTTGCTGTCGTGGCGTATTTACGCGCTCGCCGAAAAAATTTTGTCGCGCCGAGCGAAGGGTGCGCCCGCGAAAACTGCGAGGTAAGCTGGATTCCGGAGTCGACCGGCAAAAAAAAAGCGAGATACAGAAGCTGCCCGATACGCGATATTCGACTACCGGGATATCGCTCGGATAACAGGAATAGTGAGGGCTAAGTGAGAAGCGATGAGCGAAAGAAGAAGAGAAAAAAAAGGGAAAGCATTGAAAAAGAAAAGAGCGTAAGGGGATCGTATCGTGAAGTTGAAAGAGACGCGTTTATAAACTCGGAGCGACGTTATCGCGCGATGGACACATCAGGGTGCCGACCAGGACAAGGAAAAGTCGAACGGCGATGAGAGTTCGTGGAGAACGGACTGGCAAATTTATGGAACATGGCGCGGTCTCTCCCGAAGTTTTGGAGATTTATCGGACTGATAGTTACAAGAGCGAAACGGCACGACGCGCGCGCGCCCGAGAACTTCTGCGCGCCCCGTAAAAATATTTTCACCCGAGAGACGGAGCGGAGCCCGAGCAAAACGCGCCGCGAAGACGAAGAAAGAAGGTCCCGGGGCAAGACAGAGACGTCGATGTGCTTGCGGTCAAGACGTCGCGAAAAGTCGACGGACGGGGAGTTTGCCGCGGCGAGATTTATGGATTATCGCTCCGGCGCTCGAGATTTATCGGACAAACCGAACGCGCGGAGCTGTTGAGGAGAGCTTTCCGTCAAAAACGAAACTTGCACGCTCGACGAAAACACGTTTCGATGTGCGGGGTGTAAAGAAAAAAAAAAGCCGCGCTGTTCTACGTCCGACGTAAGCACAATTTTGAAAAGGAAAAGCTGTAATAAGCGAACGAGGGTTGAGGGGGGAGGAGGAGGAGTTTGTACACCGTAACAAGAGCCTGCAACGTGATTGCAAAAAGATCGAGCCACCGTGTGAATCAGGAAAGGGTCAAAGGGATTTATGCGCACGTGGTAGCAAAGGAGTTACGTAATAAAAATGTCAAAGTTTAAGATTTATCGGATCCAGACGAAAGAACCGTCCACGAGCGGTCTCTATCCCGTATCGACGTTTTTCGCGTTTTAGAAGCAGTATTTTTAAACAACGGAGGAGAGAGAGGGAAAAAGCGGGCTGACTGAGAGATCCGAAGGATTCGAACGAATCTCCGTCGTTGTCCCTTATCACGATGTGGCGCAGAAAAAAGAACAGAACTTTGTAGGTTATCCTTTGTAAGATTTACAGGAGGTGATTGCGAAGAAATTTCATGGCGAATCTGCCAAAGCTCGCGATTTATCGATGTAGAAATAAAAGGATCAAAACGTCCAAAGGATCGATCCTCGAAAATTCAGTAATATCTCTGATCTTTATCTCGAAACTTCAAAGTTCATGACTGTTCAAATGGGATAAGAAAAAATTCGACAAATACTTAGAGAAGAATCGAAACTTACAATCGCATCACCTTTATCAGACATCCATTTCTTGAGTATCTCGGTATTATCAATTATAAAAGATAGGAATTATAATTAGTTTTACGAATAAATCTTCATAAAAAAAACTCTTCCTTGTCGATTGTGTTCTAATTTACTGGATATCCTGTATTTAAATACTCTTAAATGATCAAAATTAATAAACTGATATATTTGTTCAATATTTTTAATAAAGTTTATTTAATACTCATTCGAAGAATTGAGAAATCATCTTTTTACCTTTATGCGCGGATTCGGACTCGTATTACGACGTCAAGAAGAGGATATATATGGAACGTATCTTTGCGCGGACAGATTCTTAGAAGCGGCAGAGAAATCTTACGACGAAAGTGCGAAAGTTCGAGACTTATCGAACCGGCAGTAAAAGGATCAACGTGGCTGATCTCAGAAAAGTATTTCACAGCATACAATAACTTCTCCTGCTCTTCTTATTTCCATGAATATTTTCAGATGAAAGTACAAGGCGAAAGAAAGAGAAAAAGAAGAAAAGAAAGAAGCCTGAAGTACAGGACAAGTAATAAAATTTTGAATAAAAGACCATGACAATGAAGCGAGACAAACATATTGCAGACAAAATTTTTATATGTAAAGTAAAAGTGCGAAGTCAGCAAAGTTCTTTTACTATGATAACGTATAACGTATAAAAAACAGTGTTAAATGTACACACACACACACACATATATATATGATATATATAAATAATATCTAAAATAATATTTATAATATTTCAAAATATAACGCTTCATGACTTTGCTGCATATTTTACATTGAATATATGGTAAAAACATTCTAAAGAGATATACATATTTTAAATTATTGATAACGTTATTTGTGCACAAAAATTAAAAACTAATAATACAAAATGTAAACAGAAAAGTTTGTATAAAATTTATATTATTGATTAATGCGTATGTTATTTATATGTATTTTACTTTATAGAAAACTTAATAATTTTCATAAACTCATAAAATGCAATATTATCATTTCTGCTCTTATCTGTAGAATTTCTCGAATTTGATGCATAAAAATAATATATACATTATCAAAAAATAAAAAAATTAATGTAGACATATAAATTTTAAACGTAGACCGCAAGTTCGACATGGATAAATCAATCTTGCTATCTACTGTGCAGCATTGCGGATAGCTACACTTTCCCACAACAATGTCGGCAGAAACGAGCAACGGAAAAGCGGAAGAAATGAAGAGGAAAGGCTTGATGGAAGAGAATGTGTGCGGAAGAATAGCTGAGCAACAACATAACAGAAGAGAGTGCAGAAGCGGATCTATTCGGAAGAGGGAGTAAAGGGGATCGACGCGGGATCGCAGATTGTGGGAATTTCCGGTTCCCTTGCATCCACGGTACTTATCGCACCGGCGGAATCAGCGATACACGGCGGCGTGAAACCAATGTTCCGCCGAACGTCGCACAAATTTCCGAGATTTTCCGCCGAACAATCGAACACACTGAAAAGTCGCGCGGCGGATTTCCCCACCCCGGATTTATGGATGAGGTTGACATATAGACAGATAAAGAAAGTGTTCCGTTTTTCCCGAAGACGGTATAATAAAATAATAGACTGATATCTTCTGCAGTATAACATAAATATATTTCAGTCCGACCAGTTAATTAAGTGAATCTCAAAGATACAGTATTTAAAATTACATTATTTAAAGTATTCATTTTTTTTAATATAGAAAATCAAAAGATACAAAAATTAAGTATACATGTACGAGAAAATAATATACTAAAAATATATGTAGTAATGAAAAAGATAAAAATTCGCGCTTTTCTTTTTATCTTTTAATTAATTATATATTTATAGCAGTCGTAAAATTCTCCCTATTTTGCCTCGTTCAACAGCGGTTTCCTTAGATTCCGCCGGATACAATGCCTCCAAGCGGAAAGGCAAGAGAAAAGTAAGAATTTATACGCCCTCGTACATTGGTTCCTCGAACAAATATATTCACTAGCATGAACCAGGGAGCTACGACATTGTCTTTGCGGAAAATATTTTCGCGAAATAACCTTCCTTCGTGTTTCCGTAAATAGGCAGATATACATTACTGATTAATAATAGCGTCCAAATTAATAGCGTGCTCAATACGTCTTAAATAATAAAAAGGTATTAATCTTAAAATACGCATAATAATTACCTTCAATAATTCTCGATGAGTCAGGATGTCCCACAGTAAAATTAATCGATGATATTGCACTTAAAATTTCGCTGCTAATATCGACATATCACTAACAATAAAACTCACAGAATCGACGCAGGCGACGTCAAACTGTTCGAAAGAACCGGCAGTGTTTGTCCAAAATAAATATCCTCACAAATTCCTCGGAACTTGCTTGTGACTCTTAAGAACGCGGGAAACGCACTGAAACCCTTAAGAGTCTCCCAATTATCTCACAGACCGTCATCTTGTTAGTTTTATCGCAGGATGTTCGCGAAAAATCGAGAAAACCCTTTGCAGGAATATTATCCCGAGGTACGTGAGGTTATCCTTTATCACCGTGCATTATCCTTTACTATCTATTATCAGGAGTAATCGAGGGATCGCCAACCTCGAGACGCGCCAACGTTCGCACACCTTTTTAATTCTTGCCGCCGCGCCGCGCGCCGGTGTCCTCACGCTGTTTTATTCCGGTCACGCTCACACCATTCGATCTCCTAGTTCTCCTCCGCGCGACGTACAGTTGCTACGTGAAAAGTAATAGGGACGCATTAAAATGGCCGCCCTTAATAACCATCGATTTCAATAACAATCGCGAACCATCGTCGTCAGCGAATTTATTAAAGATAGCTCGAGGACGCGTAACAATCCGTTCTCGTTGATGATTATATTTCCGATATATCCCGACGCAAAAATATTCCGCAAAAATTCTGCAGCAAATGTACTTGGATGGAACACGCGAGATGTACAACGTAATAGTAATGTTAGATTTCGCTAAAGTAATCATATGAACTTTAAAATATTTACGTATATTTTGCAAATTGAAACAATTACATTCGTATTATGCAATCCTTATCTATGAATACGAATTTAAACGTTTTCGATAAGTATTTAATCATCAAAAGGCAAATACAATTATTGTTAATAATCGTTAATTGCGAATATATTTAAATATACACTTTCAAAATTGATATTCGTTATTCGCGGTTATTATATTATCCTACATTAATATATCGTTATCGGCAGAAATTAAAATATTATATTTTACGAAGCGCTACAAGAACGAATGTATTATTATTTATTTATCTATACAGCAATAAACACGGATAACGCTAAAATATCGTATCTATTAATTCAGTCTTCTGCATTATTAAATAAATTAATAATTAATCAGACATGATACTAGATGGTAAAAAATGATAATAACGACGATATACGTAAAATACATAATTAATAAAAACGTTCACGCACACAGCTCTTCTTCTAATACAAAATCGTGAATAGCGAAAAAATGGAAATGACAAGGGTGAACGAAAAGTACGATCTGCCTGCAAAAGTACGATTATCACGTCTTCGAGAAATCTTCAGAGGTATTGATTATGTGCAAGAGGGCACGTATACGGATGATACATTATCTCAAAAGGCGAATGGAGAGTCACGATTGTTTTCAGCGATGAGCAGCAAAGTGTCCTCGAAAGAATCTAGAGTTCAAAGAGAAACTCTCTCGTCGAGGAATTCACAAGGATCCCTCTTTGATCGACGGCAGACAAGTGGACTGATATAGCCGACTGAAAGAAATCCCAAGTTCAATGGAGGCCAACATACCTCCTCCTCAATCAGATCGATATTATACGTTATTGCGTGTATATGCTTTATTGAGCTGCGCACGGTACATGAAGTTGACCAATTGCGCTTGCAGAACATGCGAAACACGTGAATGATACTCGATATTAATCGCAAACGAGAAAATTATTTTTATTTTAATTAAGAGATATAAATTAAAATTGAGCTTTCGCTTCTGCCAGTCTGCGCCATTTATCAAATGCGCATACACGGATTTAATTATTATCCCTATTATTTTTAGTCTTAAATTAATTCGTATTTTGCGCTTCGACTTTTCCTCAAATATTTATTGCATTATTATTTGCAGAAACGTCTCTGTACACGTGAGTATATACGATGTGTAAATGTATGAGAGTATTCACAGTGTATTGAATTCAAATTCCGTGAATTCGTCAAGCTCAAATGATTGAAGATTAATCATCCCCGCGGGAAAATTGCGAGAAACGGAGATGGATAATTCCTCTCTAATTACGTATACACGGTGCTAATCCTTCAAAATAAAAAGGGGATATAAATATTTGTTTAAACCATTAGACACTTTGACGCTTCCGGCTTTTGTGCGGCTAACAATGGACCTTTTGAATTCCGCAAATTTAAGCACGAATACGTTAATACGCGCATCGAGCAAACGATTATAGCTTTCCCTCCTCGCATACACTCCCCCATTGATGCCGCCTTTATACGCGCACGGTGAATGGCGCGCGTCCCGCGTGTGTCGTGCGAACTTACCAAAAACGCGAAAAACGTTTGACGAGTATTCATATCTTATCGCATAGTTAACAGCCGCGCAGCTTTACCGTTTTCAGCCAGCCCGTTAATGATTCCATGTCGCTCAACCGCGTCGCGTTTTATCACGCGGCAGCGCGATCACCCCCTGTCATAAATCGCGACTCGTACCGTACGTGCGCCCCGAAGGAATCCTCGCTGTGTAAACGGATTACCGTCCACCGTTTGGATAATAATCCGTTCCCCCCAGACGAACGCGCAGCCCGAGATACAGGATCGAAGGATCCGCGCTCGCGGCAGGATAAACGGGGACTTTACGCGGGGAGGCGACCCCTTCTTCTTCCTCCCCACCCCCCTCCCTTCCCCCTCCTCCGACCCGGGATCTACTCCAAGTTGGCACGTATCCTGTTTCACCCGGGGACATATCTCCAGAGATTACCTTTCAGAAACGAGCGCGGGAAATGTTCCCGGACTCTCCCGTCGGAAATATAGCCGTGACCCTAAAAGGAGTGTACGGCGGCGGCTTTGAAACATCCGTCAGGTCCTTCAGGGCGCGACGTCGCTCCCGGGCGCGAGGTCCTTCGGGATCGCGCAAGGAAGCGCAGTACGCCGCGGCTACGACTGCATTTTTCAGAGGATTAAAAGGAGAGAGCCCGCACCGCGCTATGATACCACCGTTGCGACACGTCTCGAAAAACTCCGACAGACAAACCGCGGAGCAACGTGAATTTTTCAGGGATGTTCCGGTCGCGAGGGTGCTACGGCTTGGAAAACGCTATTCATAACGTCGACGTTGTTTCGTAGTACAGATGCGCAGTGATTTTGTATGTCACACCTAACAGCGCCCGTGAAAAGCGGAAATAAACGCGGGCAAAGGGAAGCTTGAATAATTTTTTTTTATAACGAAATGTGAATATGAGTAATAATAAGCATTTCACAAAATGTATCCGCGTAATAATATCAGAGAGACAACGACTGGAAAATTGTATGACAAATAATTACTTCGCGAGTCGGCCGTCGAAAGTCGAAACGAACAATTTATTTTTCCAGCCGTCATCCGTAAAATTACAAGTTCTCCAATTTCTCACGAAATCGCGCGCATCGTTGTCGACAATGAAAAATAATTCGCCGAGAACTGGAACGTTCTTAATCCCTAATGAACTGAGGAGGGAGGAGGAGGGAGGGCGAATAATTATCGCGCAGGGGTGGGCTTTTCCGAAATCTTGAAATGTCACCGGCAGAGCGACACATTATTATGGTGGTTAATGTAGCGCGCTAACCGACGAGGTAAAAAGATCCCCCGAAACCTGCGCTGTGAAGGTCAGCGGCGGTGCGGGCACACTTGACCTGGTTGCGACGAGCGTAGCGCCGAACAGACAGACGTCAGAGGAGAGCAAAATTGCAACGCAAACACTCGAATCCGCCGTCGCAGACACGTCACTTCTAATTTCGTCGACAAGCTTCGTACGGTTGCCGCACCACTACTGGCAAGTCACACGAAAGAGATTCGCGAAGGGAAACTGGCGTTGAATACGATCATTATCTCAAGTAGGGCGATCATTTGCAACGATCTGTCTGTGCGTTTACGATCTAACGATGATCGGCGAACAAGTACGTAAATATACTGCCGCAGCGAGGAGCTGTCAATTCAAACGAATCTTTTACGAGAAGCAAACTATCGGATCTGTCGATAAAAGCTTGCTTCTGACAGCGGATCATTATCATTTAAGAATTCATGCTAATTAGATTCCATCCGTATATTATATTCGAAACTTTACTCCATTCACTGCAAATCCTATATCCGATTATCGACAAATCCTATTGTCAACCGTGACGATTTTCCAAAGACCATCCCCATCACTCAAACCTATATCCGCTTAATCACATACGAGAGCTTCGCGATTCGCAATTGAAACCTAAAATGGAAATTTTCCCATTCCTTTTGCCGCGAAGGGTCGTGCCTACAAAAGTCCGAGAAATCACCCCCTCCGATCCGAGAGCATGAACACCGTACGTCAAATACAACTGGGCAATCCGTTTTTTCATGGGCAACGAAAAAGAAAGGGAAAAAACAAGGGCACCTCTTCGGCAGTGCTCTTTGGCCGCGGGCGCGCTGCTACTGCCGAGGTCTCTCCCTCGTAGAGCACAGAGGGGTTCCCGTTCGAACGGGGTTGACCCAGTTAAGAGTGGAGTCAGGGCCCGAGAGTGCGCGGTACGGACGCGTCCACGTCGCGGTACGTACTGAGGCGCTACCGCGTATGGTACGGTCTCTCTTTCTCACTTCCACCGACTAAAGCTGCGCGCGGTAAGGCCGCGAGGGCTCGTTTCCCCTTTCGCGGTTCTCGCATTCTGCCGCCACCACCATCACAACCTCCACCACCACCACCACCGCCACCACCACCACTACCACCACCAGGAGATCGACCTTCGACGTAGCCGACATCGTCGCCGGGACCATCGCCGCCGCCACCGCCGCCACCGCCGCCTCCACCGCCGCCGCGTCGCCTCCACCACCGCCGCCGCCACCGCCGCCGCTGCCGCTGCCGCCGTCGCCGCCGCCACCACCGACGCAAACCCCCCTCGAAGCATCCCCTGAAACTAACCCCTACCCCGCGCTTTTCGACCAAGCTCCCCTCCATATTGATCAGTGCGCGCGGTCCGCAGGCCGCAGCATCCAACGATGGGAACGCGCGCTGCTACACGTTGTCAACATACTTAGCAGACCGAAATCCCACGGTGCGGGATAGTGACGGGCCCTAGCCACGAAAGCGGCCGCATGCGTCCACAAAGTTGTCACCCGGACACGAGGAAGTGATAAGACTGACGTGCATTAAGATGCACGTCTTGTGTGACCGCAAAGGAAAATCTATCTGACCGCGAAGATGGTCATTCGAGTAACTTATTTATACAAATGTGTCACAAATGTACAACGTGGAATTAGAGGAATTGACTTAATCATATACTTTACCCCTTTGATCGATTTCAATGCCATCAATTTGTAAAATTTGTTTATCTCAAATGCAATAAGGGTATTTCAAGCAGATTCTGTTAAATTATTAAACCTATAGATATGTGTAACATGCTTCGATAATAAAATATATAAAAATACGAGGCGTTGAAAAAGT